GAGGAATCAAACTGGTAAATGCCTCATTTTTTAATGTTTGGTCTTATTAGGTGGAATAGTCAAAATTCGAAATTCGCTGTGGAAATATCAATGAAAACTTCTCAATTATACTACCTCAAGTGCTCCGTCAAGTGAGCATAAACATTTACTTTAGGAATGCATAATCGCCTTGAATCTACTATGCACTATCAACTTGATCCCACTTGCAGGAAGAACATTTCTTCGGCCAAAGGCAATGAATGTAAAGGGAGAAAAATCTGGTCAGCTAAATTTAGCAGTTTGGAACTCACCCATTTTGCATTTTTTGTAAACGAAACTTGCTTTATTGAAGCTGTGAGCCTTTTTATTTCTAGTACAACAATCTCTTTCCAAAAATCACATGATCAAATCTCCTTCACGTCAATTAAATATCTCGCTCTCCTCCTTACTAATGCGGTTTTCATAGCTCCACTGAAGGTACTGTTTACGTTCAAATGGATGGGAGAAAATAAACAGTTTTATTCTTTTTGAACTCTCATGATAAAAAGTATTTCAAAATAAGTAGCATGTTTCAAGGTTGGAATAATCCTGAAATCTTATCTCAGAATCATTTGAGGATATAATGCAAACATGGACAAGACTAAGTACTTGTTTTGTGCTAAGGAGTCATGAAAATGCAATGGACAAATGTCAAAGAATTCATGCAAATGGTCCACGGCAAATTGTTCCTTCACATGAGTTTTGCGTTTAAAAACACCATCTCTTCAATAATCCCATGTATTCGTGTGGATTAGTATTCATCCTGTATCCGGTTGCTACACTAACTGGCCTTCACTTACACATGGGCCACAGGTGTCACTAGAGAGTCGTTGCTTAAAGGGTATTTGTCATTTTGTCGCAACGAATGCTTCCATTGTCAACAGCAAGGAAGTGTGGATAATTGCAGCTAGGAAATTACAATTTATCATTGGCCCACGGGGCAAGACTGATGACTTCCTCATAGAAGTCAACATGGTGTACACGAAAACAAAGCGGAGTCGTGGATATGGCCAAATGCAGAGAGGTTCATACGAGGTAAGACACAGCAATAGCATTGAAGAAGTAAAGGTGCAGACACCACATTGATTATTGAAGTTTAAATCTCAGCAAACATTACTAATAATAATGGAATTCATTCAACTTACCTAATATCTGATTAGCTGAGTAGTCCACTGTGTTGAAATATTCAAATATATATGTATTCTAGCTTCACATTGGTCCATGGAGCCACCAAGAGATTCCAGTGCTGGCAACCACCTATCGATTTGCTTCCGGGTTAATATTTTTTCTTGCTTCTAATTCATTAGAAGTGATGCTTACCGTGATCAATAAGGTACTTCAGTAATGCGACTTAGGATTTGAGAAGAGGAAAAGGAATGTGTGAGGGAGGAAGTAGAGAGAGAGGAGGAAGCACAGATAAAGGCATCGAAAGAGTTGAGGAGAATCTTAACATGTCGTCCAATTCTATCTTAAATATTGGCAACATTTACTTAATTCTCAAAGTCCCAGAGGCAACACATCTTGTCAAAATCGAATTTTAACATAATTGATATGCTTTCCGAAATCACAACTTGCTAAAATAAATGAGAATAATTAATCGGCAGGGGGAAAACGGTCAGACGGGCATCATTCTTCCCTACTGCGCATCTCAAATATGTGAGTACGTTAAATTGGAATGGCACAGTTCAGAGCTAGTCATTAGCAATCATTTGACATTATTGAAGTTAGTTAGTAATAGTGTAATCAGTAAATCTTACTTTTCTAACTGATAATCTAATGAAGATTGGCCAATGGGATGGAGCGAATTCATCAAATTGATGATATTTAATTGAACAAAGTTATTAATATTACTAAATAGTTTATTGTCTGCGTACAGATTCTAGTGAAAGTATCGATTTCAAGCAAAACTTTTGGTAGAATACAATCTTTTTATAATTGAAGTTAAGGTACGAATTTTCATAAATATATGTTGACATTCTTTTAGTTCGGAAAATAAATCAATGGGTAGGAGCTCGCTTTAAGCACACTTTTGATTAGCTTCTATGCTAGAGCATTTCTCCAGTTGATTCTGAAGTTACTACTGAATGAAAAGAGAGTAGTATATTCATTAATTGTTTAATTTTTGACCAAGACATTTAATTCCAATACCACATTAAAGAGGTATATTTATCAAGAGCTTAGTTAATGTTAACCGAACGTACGACTAGTGAAGTGTTGATTGTAAAATATATATATATATATATATATATAACTACTATGCTTATTAAGTGAGCACATTCAATAAAACTCTAAACGCGATCACAGCAACCAAATTTATTATGTTTTGAGATAGAACACTTATAATCATCGGCAGGTCTATTTCTTTTCCAAAGCTGATATTGAAGATGCTATTGAAGCTAATGAGATAAGTATACTCATTAATTGAGGTTGTTTAAATTTTTGGTCACGCATTTTACCTAGATCCCACACTAAGAGCGATAGTGGAGGAGGGTATTTTTATACTGAAAGTAAAGACGCTTTGTGCTACTATGTTCATTTACACGAAAATCGAAATGTAAAGAATTACCTGTACTCCGGCGTCTGTCTACTCATTCATCATTTAATGAAATACTCGAAGTAAAACGCGAGATGTAATTCATTATGACCAACTGAAACTGTAATTCCAAATTCAGTATATCGTCTAGTATTCAAATTGCTACTTATTTACACTATTAACGAGTGTCTCAATGCACCTAATTTGGAACGCTACACGTAAAAGTCTTTCTTTGACACAAACCATCATTTATGGTCAAATTTCTCTTGCATGCAGCATCACCTGATATGACCTAGGCAATATCAACAGAGCGTGCGAATTCCGAGGCGTTGATTGCAAATTATGTTCACGCCAATCATGTTAATTAAGTAAGTACATTCAACACAACTTGAATGAGTATTGATGGCTAATTAGCTGAGAAGATCTTTCTTAACGCGAGCACACCATCCTAACTTCTTAATTTATGAAATAGAAATGTTTGGTATTTCCTCTCACACATTTTGCCCTTTCATTCGCTCTTACGTTAATTTTTCCTCTTGAAAGTGTAGTGTATTAGTGAAAAATTGTCAATCATGCTACCTCAAGTGCTCCATCAAGTGGGCATAAATATTCAATTTAGGAATGCATGATCGCCTTGAATCTACTATGCCCTATCAACTTGATCACAATTGGAGGAGGAACATCTCTTTGGCCAAAGGCAATGAATGTAAAGGGAGAAAAATTGGGTCAGCTTAATTTAGTAATTGTGGAACTCACCCAAACCTATTAATTAGCACTGCCAATAAGAGGCAATTTTTTAATTCCTAGTTGTATAATTTAAGAAGTTACCTTCACTTACTCGAAATTGATAAGAAGAAAGTAAATTTTTTTCAACCTGGGTAGAATTTATACAACTTTATCGAAATGATTCCGTTCTTCGTTAATTGGGCAAATCTTCAACTGTTTTTTATGGTTGAGGACTGCGAGTCGCTATTTATCTCCATACTTACCACTTAGTTGGTAATGATTATTAAAGTTTATTTCTATCAAATGGTAGGCGTTATGATAATTGTCGTTAGCCATTTAGTTGACTTCAGGCTTCACAGATGGGGAGGAACATCAAAGTTAAAAAGGTCGAGATGGGGGGGGGGGACAGAAGAGTGTTTCGAAGATGAAAAAGAAACAGACATAAAGGTAGAAAAAAGGTGAGGTGATTACTGTGGAAGTAGTGGAATATGATATAGAGTGGGGTGATGGTAGTTTGAAGTGAGAAGTCAACTGCCAGTTAATAGAATTTTTTGCCGTATGAGTATACGTTGCCCAGCGTGCACCACGTGGAGGCAAGTCTATTACGCACCCCATAATCATTAAAGTTGTGTTTAGTATTTAATTTGTGCTTGTAATAAAACACAATTCATCAGTTCAAACATTTGGCTTCTAGGTACAAGTTGTCATTGATTAGAGGACAACACTGTGTTCTTGTACAATTTGGAAGCAGAATATATAATTATATTTTCAGAAACTCTTTTTGCAAAGAACAAAACTTTGTTATGTTAAGGGCTTTGGCCTGAGCCGGGTCATATAGTTGCTTATAATTCGGTTCAGGTCTAATTAAGTACAACGCGCTATTGAACCTGCGGATCCACATGGCAGCCAGAATCGTTTATTGCCCAATCAGCTTATCTCAACCAATTCTACGAAATTATAGTTAAACGAAATGTAGTGCAACATTGTTCGCTACAAATAGCTCCTCACCAGATTTATTTGAAATTAGATGGAAATATTGCGACTTCGTGTCAAGCTACTTTGAACTGCAAGACCATAATCAAATATTAAAACAACCATAGAAGAGTAATTCGTGCTTGCAGTTCTAATACGCTGCATATTTAGAGGTCAAACATAATACCGCATCCGAAATCTTAGACTATAACATAATAGACGTACGATTAAGTAAATATATAATACGATTTGAAAAACAATTTCATTTAAATGATAAATTTAAATAATTTAGTGGGTTTGTTAAACATGTATTGCATTTCTAAAAATATCAAATACTCAAAATTAATTAATTTTAATGCATCAAAATTAATTATCGAGGCTCCTTATTTATAATAATAATGTATTCGAAGTTTAGCTGAAGTGAATATTGTTGTTTGAATGGATACATCAGCCAGTGTGATTGCATTAAATCTACACCATCCAACATGGAGAAAACAATCATCACTGAAGATAACGGAGTAGTTTGGTTGAATGACGAACATCTTATTCACTTTTCACTATTCCAATTCTAACCAAACAGTAAGTACAATTATTCTTTGTTTTCGATTCATTTTCTTTTGAAATCAAATCAACTTCACTTTTCGAAGTTGCATCATGCTTGTTGTTAGTTTCACCAGTTTGAGGGTTGATCTGGCTTAATATTTGACTTCCCTTCCATTTCTGTTTCATAGTTACAGAGGACCCATTTGTCATGGACACGGTATCCAAGGCGTCCATGTTGGCGTTGTGTGAATGGATTGACTATCGGGACATTAATCGAATGATTAACAGAGTTGGTGAATTCGAAAAGGACTTTCTTGATGCACATCGGAGTGAATTTGCAGATTTGATGGATGCGGCAGAAACACTGGGATTTCAAGCATTTTTGGATGTGTACAACAGCTTGCTTTAAATTATTACAACTACTTTCAGTATTCCACATTCTTTTCTCTTCGTTTTCAACAGATTGTTATTTGAAAGAGTGCATGATGCGATGAAGTTGACGGGCAAGCATAATGTCTTGGGATGGTGGGAAATTGAAAGTCGTGAAGCACCAAAATCCCTTTTTGAATAAATTTTGTGTTGGCAGTTAATAACGATACTATTTTGTCACAAAATTGAACTGTGTGTGGACATGAAATATTGCAGCTCCTCCATCGATACGTGACCTACCTATGGTTTACGCCAGAATGTTTATTTTATTAAGTAGAAAAAGCTGGCTTTTTAGAGTTATCATTGGTTCTTTTGTTTGCGTCGGGCTTCATAATAGAGAGAAAGATCAAAGTCACAAAATTGGAGACCGAGAAAAGAAGAGTGTGGTTCACAGATGTCAGAGAGATACACAAGAAAGTGGAGAGAAAGTTGAAGTGAGAACTGTAGACGTGGAAGTTGTGAAATAAGCCGTGCAGTCGGTGTGTGGCAGTTTGAATCCAGAAGTCAACTGATAGCTTAGACACTTTTGCCATATTAGAATGCGTTGCTCTGATTTACACCACGTTGACGTAGGTGTACCACACTTCCGCGTCAGAAAACAATTGGTCAGATAACGGACATATCAATAAATTCACATTTAATCGTCTTCAACATTTACGAAAGAGCTTAATTAACCAATAACGAAAGTGGAAGTGTCTAGCATTCCTACGTACAAAGATGAATAAATGAAGCTGTCTGGTTCCTGGTATACGTGATTCTAACAATGTATTTAGTTTCACAAGTACCCTGTAATTTCGTAACCATTACAATTAAATTCTAGCGGAGAAAAAAACTAACATAACTTCACTACATATGAGAACTTTGGAATATTTACAAGGCGAAAGGTCAATGTTTAATAGTAAGAAAAGTAATAATAATAATAATAATGAGGATATTAAGACTGCGATGACAGGAACGCACTTCAATGAAAAGGGGATTTGTGTTAGAGGTGGAAATTCTGGATATTTATAGGTCCTTCTCTTTTGCCTCCGGATCTGCTCCAACAGAACCAAAACAATTGTCAATATTGCATACCAACTAAGTGGCCATCATTGTGATAGTGGTTATTTGGGAAGCTCACCAGAATTCATGAGTGCCTGCACAAAGTCAGGAAGTCTATATATTGCAGCAATCATTAGAGCTGTGTAACCCTGCCTATTGAAACTTTAAATAAGCAAGTGGAACCAAAAATAGGTCATTGGTAGGTGATATAATGTAAACAGTTAGCAGCAAACAGTTACCAGCATAGGTTTTATAATATAATTTAGGATTTAGATAACCAAGTAGAAACTATTAGTTAATGGCTGACTGAGTGGTCTCTGTGATCACGACCCCACTTGCTCCCTACTTGGCAAGTCACACGGCTGCACCATCGAGTCTGAGCCCTCACTCAATTCCCTTGTTCAGCTATAATAGCTCTGTGCGCTCCACGAATCAACCCCAATCCATGCGGTTAGTCATTACTATCACCGTGTGATTCATTTAACGCCATAAATTTTGACGCAAAATAACCTCGATCCACCTCGCAATGAGAAAAATTATTTATATTCACATTACTGTGTGCTATTATTAGTAATAATAACTTGAATGAATATGGTCAAACATGAATTAAATTAGATGTGGAAAATTAACTAACTGCTAATGGAGGCATGTCTTCTCCGTTTCCTATGTCTGCAATGACTTCGTTGATTGTTTTGCTGTAGTTAACATCAAGAGTGAGGTAGGGAGTCTATACTTGGGAGTTTAATAAACATAAGTTGAAGAGGCCAATAGGAAGTACTCGACCAGTGGGCGGACATGCACATTGATCTTACGAGTGAAGTTCATTCATTTTTCTGTACTTGCTTGCCAGGTAACTTATCGCAGTTCATGAGTGACACCCAGAAGTAGTGAAGGGAAGCCTACGGACAGGCCAACTCGCTGTGGGAAATTCTAGACGTATTCAGAAGAAAAAGTCAAATTGGAAATATCATGTAAACTTCTGTGAAACAATTATATACAAAATAGTTAAGCAGGCGACTATAGTGGGCTTTCAATGAAATCCCCAACTACAGCCCTCAAGAATTGTATATGACATATCTCAAGATGCAGGAATTCTGCTAAAGTTTATGGCGTCTCTGACGTATTTTTTTATGTAATTAAGACTAAATGAATATTCACTTTAGGAATGCATAATCGCCTCGAATATGCTATGCCCTATCAACTTGATTCCAATTGGAGGAGGAACATTTCTTTGGCCAAAGGCAATGAATGTAAAGGGAGAGAAATTGGGTCAGCTAAATTTAGCAGTTTTGGAAGTCACCAAAACCTTTTAATTAGCCCTGCCAATTAGAGTCATTTCTTTAATTCCTGGTTGTACAATTTAAGAAGTTACCTTCACTTACTCGAAATTGATGAGAAGAGAGTAAGATTTCTTTCAACCTGAGTAGAATTTATACAACTTTAACGAAGTGATTCCGTTCTTCGGGAATTGGGCAAATCTTCAACTGCTACTTTCGATGTCAAATCAGGTGATTTATGTTCCACTGTCCCGCTGTCACGATTTGTTGCGAAAGTTTAACAGGGGCGAAGGGGGGGGAGGGGGGTAACGGTTGTTCAAAAGTTCAAGTCGTATTAAAGGCGGATTTACCAATTGGCTCAAAAATTCCACTTTTCAAAATTGTCTCGCTGTATCAGCAAAGATATTGAAAGTTGAGAGGAATTTGCATAAGAACTCAAAGTAGAGATTGCATGATCATTTACCCAAGACTACTTCAGGATGATTTGGATTTTCTTTCTTGCATTGTTCACTCTATCGCTATATATGTGCTGCGATACCTGGACGGAGTATGAAATGCACAACTTAAACATTCTTATCAAATTCCTGCTCGATCCGCGAAACAAGTAAAATTGCATAAGCCGGAGCATTGCATGTCACTCTTTTCAATCAAATTCCGCACATCTCTACTTCTGATTCTCTCACTGAATGCAATCTTTCTTCAGACAGATGTCACATTTTTGTCTTATTTATGAAACTGAAGCCACATCTCTCATGGTGTGCTTAATTTCAATGAAAATAACAAATTATGACACTGCGTCTCATATTAGAAGAACTGTTAATCAATTGATAAAAGATTGGTTCATTAAATTGTAGAATATTGAAGCTAGCAGCCAATTGGCCTAATAAATCAACCCTTACAGAGGTCACAAGTAGCCTATTTTTTTCCATAATACTAAATGGAGTTTTGCCAACCCACTTTGCATACATTTCTGCATACAATCCATAGTAAATATTTGATAATATTCCATGTTGTGAACTTTTCCTCTCCAGGATCATAAGCGTTCACTGCATGATCATCGTCTCCTTCCCAATTGCTGCTCTCTCCTGCTGTTATCTGGATTGCATTGCCTTGTCTCAACTCAATCAAACTGCCATTGCATTTTAAGTTCAAAATGTCCACATCGATTTCTATTATTGTCCGGGTTCCGGTAACTACTGGCTCATGCCTTATACCCATGAAAGCCAGACTGCAAGATCAGAAATTCCCCCTCAATGGTCTATTTTAGTAACCTGCTTACAGTGCCATTTTCATATACCTTATGGCCTAATTTATAATTGTTGCTAATACTGTAGGCGATCTATTATCAAGAAAGACATAATAACTCCTAATGGAGACAATAAATAAATCCTTTCCATAAATCGTTAAGTGGGGTATATAGTGATGAAGATAACGAGGGTGGCATTTTTATTCTAATTTGCATGTATTATATTTTGTACAGAATTCATGCATTATTATCTACTTATATTTTCCCCACAATTCCTTTTGTTTACTTCTAACGCATAGCTTCGTGTTTACGTTTTGAACTTTAATTAGCATTACCACTTTTTTTCAGTCAGATCTCCTAACCAACTCAATAATCGAGTTTAATATATCTGAAATTGGTGAATAATCATCACAAAGTATTAGGTTGGCAACTAAGTCATTACCGATTTCAAATAAG